AGAGACATGTCTGGCAGCAACAACTGCTTTACAATGAGTGTTTTCTGAAAAACCATGGGAATGAAAAACAAAAAACCTCCCCAGCCAATGGTAGCGACCCCAGAGCCGGGGAAGGCCATACATTAGTAAGGCAGTAGTCTGACCCCATAGGCCACGCCTGAGGGGACTTTAATGAGTCTGTGGGGGAGGGTGAAAAGACCACCAGAAAGGCATGCAGGATGCCAGTGGACGCACTCTTTGGACTATGCAATCACATCTCAATTGAAACTAATCAGTACCAGAGCAGGCGACACACAGAGCTCTAACCTGGAGCAGAGACAGAGAAGGGGACAAAGAAAGACTGGGAAACAGAAGCAGGGAGGAAGCAGGACAGACAGCCACCCACCATAGCGCCTCACAGCAGTAAGGGCTGAATGCAGGGCGATTTATGAACGCAGGTAACATGGAGCCATTTCTGTGCCTGATGTGAAAGGAACCTTGACAGGATCCCTCTGGACCCAAGGACAGGAGAGACCCAGGCCCACACCACCAAGGCTCACACACGCCTTGCTTTACATACCATATGGACCCATAGTCACACCACAACCCTGCCACATACACACCGTGTCACACACCACACATTCCACACCACACACCAAATATGCTATGTACCACACTACACCTCATGTGCCACACACCACAAACTCCCACAAGACAAAATGCAACCACCCCACATAAATGTTCCACATTCCACATACAACTCAGGGGATCACACACCTGGACTGTGAGAGTCCAGGTGGTGTTGGGCAAAGAAGGGGGAATGCAGACCCAAGGACACACACACACACACACACACACACACACACACACACACACACACTCAGTAATGCCCACATGCTGACACACATACATGCTAACACAGATACACACTGACACACGCTCACACATACATATATGCTAACACACAGACACACACATATACACACACGAACACTAATGCCCACATGCTGACACACACACACACACTGACACATGCTCACGTATACATACATGCTAACACACACACACACACACACACACACACACACACACACACACACACACCATAACCAGGCTTTCACTTCCCCGGAGCCCTACCCTACCACCCAGACAAGCTCAGGGCCTGTCTCTGTCCTGTCTTGTCATTTAGACAGAAGGTGGTTGGTGAATTCAGCTTATTCTCTAGTACCCAAATCACAGTTGGGGCCGCACCAGGGACTCCTTACAAATCATCAAGGAAATGAATGAACCAGTGAGGGAGAGAATGGAGGAACCAGTGTTCTGAGCACTTAGGCAGAAGGGAGGCTGAGGACTGCTTTCAGAGTTTGCAGATTATAAAAACAGAGGGGAAGGGGGGAAGGGCACGGAGCGAGGCCAGCACATCTGGAATAATCAGGATGGAGGAGGGAGACCTGGAAGCTGGCAGGAAACGGGTGAGTGAAGCCCCCCAGCCCATATCGAGCACACACAGGCACGCACACAGACACACACACACAGTCGCAGAGACTGGACAGCTCCCTGGAGGGAGGGAGAGGATGGAAGAAGGGTTGAGGGCCTCTGTCTGCCCCCTCCCTCTCACACACAGCTGGGCAGGAACAGCTGCTCCACTGTTAGTGTGTGCAGAAGAGCCATGGAAGTCAAAGGAAACACATCCCCCAAGCCGATGGCAGTGACCCCCAAAACCGGAGCAAGGAGAGAAAGCAGGCAGTATCAGGGATGGGTGTGGGGGGCTGAAGAGCTTTGCAGAAATCCAGGCCTGAAGGGTAGGAATTAGTATGGGGGCTGGGTCCACCCCTTGCAGACCTGCAGACATCAAAGCCACATGCATTTGTTGTGGAATGAATGAACAAATGAGAAAGACAGATCTGCAAGGGTAAAAAAAACAGGGACAGAGAAATACAGAGCCAGAGGGATGTCTCTCTCTCACACACACACATATACACACACTACCCTGGGTATAGGATAAATGAAAAAAAGGGAATAGGTGACACAGGACTCCCCTTCACCACCCCCCAAGACAGGATTTCTCTGTGTAGCCCTGGCTGTCCTGGACCTTGCTTTGTAGACCAGGCTAGCCTCAAACTCAAAAGCTCTGCCTGCCTCTGCCTTGCCTCTCCAGGGCTGGGATTAAAGGGGTGAACCTCCTGGCAGACACAGGACTTTTACACCAGCAATGGGGAGGCAGAGGCAGGTGAATCTCTGTGAGTCCAGGCCAGCCGGGTCTTTATAGTGAGACCACGTTTTTGTTTTTAAATGCAAACAACAAAAGACTGGCCCCAACAGATACATCCACACCACAACACCTACAGCTGAAGCTCAGGAATCTTTTTTGGAAGAGGGGACAGAAAGACTACCAGAGCTAGTGGTGCCTTTAATGTCAGACTCAGAAGGCAGAGCCAGGCTGATCTCTGAGTTCGAGGCCAACCTGGTCTATAGGGCAAGTCCCAGGACAGCCAGGGCTACACAGACAAACCCTGTCTTGAAAAACCAAACAACACTTTTTTTAAAAAGGAGGAATAGGCAGAAGTGACCCACAGACAGACAGAAGGACACCAGGGATTCATGACGCTTGTCAGAGCTTCAGATGTAGCAGACACGCTGGTGCCCAGGAGGCCCTGCTGACCTGAATCCCGTCTCCACAGAACCTTCCACAGCTTTGTGTGTCGGCCACCGGTGGTCTCTTTCTCTGAAAACCACTTCAGAATCCCCAAGAGAAGAACGGGAAAGGAAACAGATGAGAGAAAAGGCACACAGTATGTGTGTGCATGCGTGTGTGCCTGTGTTTGCATGCCTGCTCACATGTATGTATGGGGAAGGTTTACTACGGAGAACCCCTAAGGAAGGAAGGGAGCAGAGGACAGGTGAGAAGCTATGGTGGACAGCAAGGGAGCAACAGGCCATGTTGCTGTGGGTGCACACCACACACTTGTACTCCACAGCTAACACGCCCCTCTTGCACACTATACAACTCCCATACACCCCACAAAACACGAATACAACAAACCCCAACCACCCCATATAATCCAACGACATCCCCCATACTACACATAACACATACCAAACATACCCCACACCACACCCTCCCTTATAACCCATACACAGCCTTTACCCCAGTCACACCATAGATCCCATGCGTATCCTCAGAGTCCACACCCTATACCCACAGTACATGGCAGGGGGGTCAGTACATGACCCAGAGGAAGGTAGGGGCACAACAGGTGGCCAGGGACAGAGCGCTGGCTTGCAAGCCCTCAGCGGTTACCATGCACAAACCCACATGCAGGGCCAGGGGCAGTGCTGAGCCCAGACTAGACCTTTGGTCTGAGGCTTTTGTTTGTTTTTGTTTTTTTGAGACAGGGTTTCTCTGTGTAATCATCCTGGCTGTCCTGGAATCCTCTGTAGACCAGGCTGGCCTTGAGTTCACTGAGATCTGCTTGCCTCTGCTGGGACTCAAGACGTGGGCCACCACCGCCTAGCTGAGTTTCTCCATGAAGGAACGATGGTCAGCAGCTCAGATATAAGTCAGTACATGAGGGCTCAAGGGACAGAGACAAAGAAACCCAAGAGACAAGGAAAAGGGTGGGCAGTCAGGAATCACACACCCACCAGGAAGTGCCTATTCACTGGGCAGGAAGGGCAGGTGAGTCTGGGGTACAAGGATACTTGGGGGTTTTTTGTTTGTTTTTCCCTTTTTCATGCTTTTCTGAACCATCCTATTCTACAAGAAAAAACACACACTATTCTTGTCCCTGGGAAGTGTTTTCCTGGAAGACAGATGTATGCAGAGTAGAAGCAACAGAAAGGGCCCCAGGGTCTCGCGCTCTGAAGTCACACAGGGAAGCAGCTGGAGGCCCAGGCCAAGCTATGGCACTCCTGTCGTCTGTACCTGCCCGTCTCTCTCACATGCAGAGCCCCGTGAAAGCAAACTTAACACGGGCCACAGCATGAACTAGAAACCAGAGAAGGCACTGGTGGGGAGAAGAGAGGAAAGTGACCACCGTCTCCCTCCCCTGCATAGATTTTGCCCCATGGGCTGGGCCTGGGGGCATCTCAGCCAGCCCCCCAGCACTTGATCCAGTGGGTGGGGCTCTGTGAACCACCGTGACCACCCCAGAAGATTCCAGGGCTCTGAGAAAACTTGCAGGATGTTCTGTAACCGCTGACTTGTCTTGAAGGTTGAACAGGAGTCTCCAGCTAGTAAGAGGGAAGAGATTTCCAGAGAGGAACCAGCCCAGGCCCAGGGAATGAAGCTGGAAATGCATAGGGTGTGTGTGTGCAGACAGCATGAGCACACTGAGAACAGAAGAGCCGTGGGGAAGCAGAAGAAAGGCCATAAGCCCCTATCCACACCTGCCTTGCTCCCTGACACACATCCAGAAGAAAGAAAACGGGTCAGACTGTTGAGGCCACCTTTACAAAGGTCCTTGGGCAGCTGGAGTGGAGCGGGAAGAATGGGGTGGTCTCAGGTGTCCACTGTGGTACTGGTTTGTGAAGGGCACATGAACTGAAGTGTTCTGGTCTAACAGCAGCTAGCAGAGATTTGCAGGCCAGGTTTACTCTGGAGAAACGCAGTCTCCTCAGATCTCCGGAGGGGCTGGGGATAAGGCCAGGAAGGTGACATGGCTTCTCCTGGCTCAGGGATTGCATGGGTTCACTCCTACCCAACTCAGGCCTTCTGGGACACACACACACACACACACACACACACACAGCCTTTGAGATGACCCATGAACACACTCCATGCAGGCTGGGCGACCCTGCTAGCTGCCCATATCTCACAAGCACCCTCGTCCTAAGCTGGGTACTTCCCACAGACCCTCACGTAAGTACAGACATGCTGCACCTGTCATCTGATCCATCAGCCCCAGGTCTGGAAGCCCCAGCTGCAGGAATCAAGGCGCCTAACTGCTATGTCCCCTCACACCTAGGACCCTTCTTTCCCTCCCTCATATAGTAGATGTCCAAAAAACAGCCGGCCAAACTGAGGTCTGTTCGTGTTTAATCAGACAGTATGCAAAGTATGTACAACCAGTTCAGGGTCTCCCGTCTCTCAAGCCTGGGCCATGGGATGTGGGATCCCAAACCCTGCCCGGAGATGGAGGGTCCCCAAGGCCTCTGCATAGTCATCTGAAGTCTACAAAACACTGTGAAAGAAAGGAAGAAGGAAAGGAAGAGAGAGAGAGAGAGAGAGAGAGAGAGAGAGAGAGAGAGAGAGAGTGAGAGAGAGAGAGAGAGAGAGAGAGAGAGAGAGAGAACAGGACAGTTGAGGCCACCGTATACAAAGGTCCTTGGGTAGCTGGAGTGGGTGGGAGAATAGGGTGGCAAGTTCAGACTTGCCAGGTGGATGGGAAACTTGGGCAAGAGACAATGAGAGGAGAGTGGAAATGTCAGGGCAGGCCAAGCTTGGCCTCCTTCCCTAAAGCAGGGCCTGGCTGGCTCAAAGCCCCGGCAGTTGGGACATTATTGCTGTGATGGGGCAGTGGGTGAAATGGTCATATCTGGGGAGAGAGAGCAGGGGTGTTCTTACATGTTAAATATGGACACAAAGGAAGACACACAGGCACATGTATACACACACACATACACACAGGGGCCCTCAGTTGAGATGCCACAAATCATCAACTACCCACCTTACAGATGGGGACACTGAGGCAGAGAGAAGCCACCACATACCCCAAGACTGGGCAGAAGAGTCAGGGAGCAAGCAGTCAGTGGACTGCAGACCTGGGGCTGTGATCTATACAGGGGCTGAGCAACGGCAGGGGCCACCGTCATGGGGGCAGAGACTGTAGCTCAGAGAGAGGGCAGGGCCAGTGCTGGAACACGGCAGTGAGGATTCTTGCCCTTCTTTCCCTGGCCAAGGAACTCCCCTCCCTCCCCATGAGTTAAGGGCAGAGAGCAGGAGGCAGGTGTTGAAATGACTGGAAACAGGAGGACTAGCGATCCCAGCTTCTTTCCTCTCCCGCCTCTACCTGATTGCCTCTGCATTCTGGGAGCTCACTCCATTTCATGGCTGATTCTTAAGGTCAAAACCCACCCGCAGTGTGACTGAGCCTGGTCCACACAGTCACTCTCCGCCCTTGGTTCCTGGCTCAGTGTCTTGCTTGACTCCATTCTTCCCGACAACAGACCCATGAGCATCAATGGCACCAGAATTCTGCCACCTTTAACCCATTCTCCTGCCCCAGCCTGTCCATTGCCTTTAAGGACAGTTTTCATTAGTTCCTGAGGAAGACAGAGTGAGCACCAGGTGCTAACCCACCTCAACCCTGAACTACCCGTGGGTCTTGGGCAGTCACAGCCCCTCCTGGATTCACTTTTTTCCAACAGAGACATGAGGGCAATGTGTTGGTGATGGCCAAGGGTCCTATGTGGAGGTCAGGGCTGAAGGAGAGCTCACTCTGACTCTTATCCCACCATGGGTTAGGCCTTGGCTGTCTAGCCTGAGAGCCATAGAAGATGATTCCAGACCCAGTGTTCTACCCAGAAGCCTCCAACAAGGACGGCCAGGGGCAGGAAGTGTACGTTGGCCAAGGGCTGGGCCTCATTCTTCTTTGGAAAGGCTCTTTGGCCAACTTGAAACAGACCCAGAGTGAAGAAAGGGGGGAGGAGCCAGGTGAGTGGGGTGGGCTAAGGTTGGAAAAGCGCCCCCCAGCCCTGCTCTTCACCCAGTGTCTCCTGCGAGAAGTAGGTGGACTCCAGAGGGGATACAGGGTGGGCCTGTGGCCAGGGCAGCTTTGGGGCAGTCACTGTACCAGCCTCAGCTCAACCTGTCCTTCCAGGTTGCCCCAGTCCCTGAAGCCCTTCCATGTTCCAGAAGGGCATCACTGAGGCAACTCAGGCCGAGACAGGGTAAAGGGAGGCAGGTGCATCAGAGGCCACGCCCAGAAGTCGAGGGGTGACAGTCCTGTGCACACAGTTCCTATAGATTCTCCCCAGGCTGGTACTGCGGCTCGGTGGACGTGAAGTAGTCCTCCAGGAAGGCCTGCAGGTACTCGAAGGTGGGCCGCTCCTCAGGCTCCTTCCGCCAGCACTGGCACATGAGGTCGTGCAGGGACTCAGGGCACTCGGGGGGACAAGGCATCCGGTAGCCCCGCTCCACCTGGTCCAGCACCTCACGGTTCACCATCCCTATGAACAGAGGGCTGTGAGGAGATGGCTCAAGAGACTGAAGCAGCCTAGACAGCTTTGAGCCTGTGGCGGATAAAACCCTGTCTCTGAGGCTAACAGCCCTAACCAGAGGCAACCTGAGATCAGACATTAGCCCCGGAAAGAGGAAGCCCAGAGGTGGAATGTGTGTGTGGGGACTGGGGGTGAGAGTTGCCCCTAGGACCAAGTTCAGGGTCACAGGGGTGGCCTCCTCACCAGGGTAGGGCACCCGTCCCTTAGTGGTGAGCTCGGTCAGCAGGATCCCGAAGGACCACACGTCTGACTTGATGGTGAATCTGCCGTACAGAGCAGCTTCAGGAGCAGTCCACTTGATGGGGAATTTGGCACCTAAAGGCAAGAAAGCACAAGGTGTCACTACCAGTCTGTCGCATTAGTCTCACTTCCACTTGGTGGACTGACATCATCGGATGCACCCCCAGGAGCTCCCACCTTGCCGGGCTGTGTATTCGTTGTCTTCTATGAGCCGGGCCAGACCAAAGTCAGCCACCTTACACACCAGATTCTCCCCAACCAGGATATTGGCAGCTCGCAGGTCCCGGTGCACATAGTTCATCCGTTCCACATAGGCCATACCGGAGGCAATCTGTAGAGACAGAGAGCCAGGCTCAGGGCCAACCCACACCCATCCCAGGGGTGTAAGCAGGTGTCCTGGGCTGGTCATTGCCGGGGATGGAGAGACAGCCTTGCCCATCCCGTGTCTTTTCAAGCAAGAAATTCATTCAGCTTATAATAAACATCACTGGCTTGAAAAGGTAGACCACAGCTGGAGAGATGGTTCAGTGGTTAAGGCACTGGCTGCTCTTCCAGAGGTCCTGAGTTCAAGTCCCAGCAACCACACAGTGACTCACAACCATCTATAATGGGATCTGATGCCCTCTTCTGGCGTGCAGGCATATGTGTGGACAGAACATTCATACCTAAAAAATACATAAATAAATACAATTTTTAAAAAGAAAAGGTGGACCGGAGCTCAGTGGGGGAGGGGACAGGTAAGGAGCAATGGGGAAGGTCACAATAAGATGCTGCCAGGGAAACAGGTATAAAAAGAGATCCCAGATGACCCATAGACACAGGTATATGCCTGGTCCTGCCTTGTTGTCCCAAGTTCCCTCTCTGAGTCTCAGTTTCTTCATCTATCAAATGAAAATAATAAATTTTAAACTTTTAATATTTTATTTTTATTTTTAATTATTTATATGTGCATCTCTGTCCAGAACTACCACCCTGGCACCACCAAAGGCTCCACTGAGTGGCAAGGTAAGATTTGGGTGTAATGAAAGCAGGCTTCCTAGAGGGGGCGCTCTGAGCCCAAGAGCTCAAGGTATAGGAAAGCCAGAGGGAAGACTCACCTGAGCAGCCATGTCCACCAGCTGGGGTAGCCGCAGGTATTTGCCCGTTTCTCCCTTGAGAAAGTCCAGCAAACTCCCTGGAGAGAAAGAGAGAGCCAGCTTTAGCCCTGCCAGGGTTTCTCAGTGCAGGAAGTTGTGGCTCCCAGACCCTGGCCACCTGCTCAACCAGTAAGGAGAAAAACCTCAATTTTGTGTAAGCACTCTAGGGAGCTAGACCAAGAAATCCTACTGGGCCCTTGTAGTGGTGTATGTGTGTGTGTGTGAGTGTGAGTGTGTGTGTGAGTGTGTGTGCGCGCGTGTGTGTGTGAGTGTGCGTGTGTGTGTGAGTGTGAGTGTGTGTGTGAGTGTGTAGGATGTTAGGTGAAAAGACCACGTGTAAAGCCCAAGGCACATTATGTTTATTTGGACGAAGCCTGCCAGCCAGTGGCGGGCTGGGGCTGGTGAGTGCCATCACTAAGGGCTGCAGGCACCTTTGGGGTAATGCGGGCTATATATGCATTTTTTGTTTGTTTGTTTGTTTGCAGTGGAGACCAGCCTTGACCTCTTGATTTCCCTCCTTGTCCCCTCAGTGCTGGATTACAGGTATATGTCATCATGCTTAACTGGTGCAGTGCTGAGGATTAAGCCTAAGGCCAAACCCAGGGCCTTGGGCATGCTAGAGATTCTACCAACTGCGCTATATCCCCAACCCCACATTGCTGTTTACTGAGACAGTCTTGCTATGCAGCCAGCCTTGCCTCAAACTCAGGATCCCCCTGCTTCAGTTCCCCGGGCACTGGGATTACGGGTGTGAGCCACCACACCAGCCAGCAACAATAGAGATCTTAACAGTGTAAAGGACTAAAGAATATCCCTTTTTAAAAAAAAGTATTATTTCTTGTTATTATTTATGAAAGGAGCGAGGCAGTCCCTCAGGTAACCATCCACTCATCAAGGGTTGGCTCGGGGTAAGAAGTCAGTTGCCCTTGTGTGGCCTGCCCTGCGCAGGCACCTAACTGGAGCTCACTCCAGGAAGAGGTCTTACCCTTGCTCATGTACTCTGTCACTATGTAAATGGGTTCCTCTGACACCACGGCATACAGCTGTACCAGTTTCTCATGCCTCAGCTTCTTCATGACTTGGGCCTCCTGCAGGAAGGCCTCTGGAGACATGGTGCCTGGCTTCAGGGTTTTGATGGCAACCCTCGTGGTGCCGTTCCAGGTCCCTGTAAGGGAGGGACATAGCAACCTCAGTAAGGCCACCATTCTGTTGTGCTGGGGCTAGGCTGGCCTACATGGGTCCTATCTCCACCCTCGCCCCCAGCTCATGGAATGGGCTCAGGCAAGGCCAGGGACCTTACTGAGACTCTATTCCCACTTACAAAATGAGCCCCAGGAATGGAAAGTCCTCCCAGGGCTGGGAAATGTATGTCTGGAGCCTACTAACAAACTGTAGTGGCTACTAGACATTGATTGATCAGGTATGTTGCCAGAAAGCAGGACAACAGCCTGATGGGCAGGTGACCAAGGTCCCATCTCAACTACTTTCACTTGGGGTGACCACGTTTCTGGGTAGGGCACTGTTGGTAGGTACTCCAGGCATCAGCAAGCAGAGCATAGGACAGAGAAGAGGGAGGCCTGTGTCTGAGGACACTGGGGACACCTAGTTATACCACAGTAGGCAGGGAACTGACAGGCCAGCCTGGGAGTCCTTGTCACAGGACTGGGTCTGGGGGTAGCATATGTCACCTCTCTAGCCCTTCTTGAGTCAGGCCGTTCAGGGATCTGTTTATGGTGACTCCTGGTCTGTGTAGAGTCCCAGAAAGAGGCAAGGCGGGAGGCTCTCTCAGATCCCCATGACACCCTTGCCAAGAATCACAGTTGACAAGGACCAAGGCTGCAGCTCACCCAGGTCCTGCCCAAGCCCTCCTTTTGGTCTGAGCTTAGGAGCTGGCTTGCCTCCTCACAGCCCAGGACGTCCCTTCCGCACCTGGCCCCAGGCCCTCTAGTGCCCTCTGACGGGAGGAGAGTGAAATGGTACGGCCACCGAAGCCCCAACCAGTCTCCCTCTGCTCCTGGGTGGGCAGAGAGCAGCTAGTGGCAGAGGGGCCTGGGTTTGGTTAGGGCTGTCTGCAGTTCACTGTCACAGGGGACTCCCAAGGGCTCCAGGGTTAGACAGGAAACGGGACATTGACTTCCCACTAACGCTTCCCCACGGCACTTTCTCTTTCTGTGGCACACTAATATGCAGATGCCTCTTGAAGCTTAACATCAGTCCCCATTTCACATCAGGAGGCTGAGGCTTGCTCTGAGCCCTGACCAGACCCTCACGGGCCCTGGAGGACGGTGGTGCCCAGGCCCCAACTGCTATTGGTACACAGCTGTCCTAGTCTTCACATGCAGGGGCTACAGGGAGTTGGGTGTGCCCATCTCAGTGCTGACCCCGGCTGGGTCATGGTCAGGGGGAAGGGACATGAGCAAGTATGTTACATGTGGGTTTAGAGTGTCGTAGGAAATGTGATACTCTGCACAATAATGAAATAAAGACAGAGACAAAGAGAGGGACACCCACAGTCCTTGAGCTGTCTGGCTGGGATGGGGACAGGGGTGTGTGTGCCTTACCCATCCACACCTCTCCGAAGCAGCCCTGGCCCAACTTGACCTCCAGGCGCAGGGACTCCCGGGGGATCTCCCAGGCATCCTTGGCCAGGCCCTGGGTCTGAGGCTTGGATGTGGGGCACACGGTAGTGAGGCGGTGGCACAGGCCATCAGCATGCTCTGGAGGTGGAGGCAGGGAATGGGACTCAGGCAGGGTGCCACAGCAGGCTGGCTTCCCTGTCCCCGGGAAACGGCCCGATGCATCATGTACACACCAGCTCTGGGGATAGGCAGACACCCTCCTGTATATCACCACAGGCCTGCAGCACAAACCCACCTGCTCCGTTCACTCTTTCATTCACTCGTCCATCAGATTTGAGGGTGCCGGAGAACCAGGGGGAACAGGTATGGGATTCTACCCTAGGGAGGCCATAGACAACCCCCCCCCCCCGCCCCCAGTCTCCTATCAAAACCCCTCTGCACACAGATCAAGTGGTGTTGGAAAAGCTGTCAGCTTGGGGGACTGGCCGGTGAAGGCCTGGAGCAACCGGCTTGGAGTCTCACCCCAGAGGATTTGGTCTGGGCCCAAATAAGGCCCAGAGGAAGAGGCAGACTGACAGAGAGGTGGATGGTCATAGAGAAAGAAGCCAGAGGCCCGGGTTGAGGGAACAGCTCAGGCAGCTTAAGCCTGCAGCCGCCATGCACATTAGGGCACTCCAGCCCCAGCGCTACACACAGCCCGCCCTCCCGCCCGCCAGCACCCCAGCTCCAGCCCCCTCGCTGTTCTCTATCAAAGAAGCCTCCCCTCCTCCTCTCCCAGGAACCGGCTCAAACCAGTCTCAGGGCTGCAGAAACAATCACCACCAGCTTCTGCCCCTCCCTTCTAGCTTGCTCAAGGCAGACCCCTCCTCATCAGCCAGCTGCGGAGGAAGGCAAGGAGGGGGCTGGGCAGGGAGAGAGGGAAGGAGGGAGGAGACAGGAGAGACATCCCAGGGCTGAGGAGGCACACCCTGTGGTACCCTACCCCCTCCAGGGTGGCAGCCAGTGAGTTCCCACACAGCCAGGGGACACTCACTGGAGTAGTAAGCCACTAGCTGCTGCAGGCTGTTGAACTGGGTGCGGGAGGTGATGTAGAAGCCGCCGCTGTCCAGTTTGCGGATCTTGTAGTGTTTCACATTGAGGCCCTTGGCATTGTCGAAGTCGGATACGGAGAGGCAGTAGGCACCTGTGGACCGGAAGGGAGGAGACGTCTGTGGCACCCTGCTGATGTGTCCCTTACCTGAGGAAGTGAGTTCAGTCCCCACCCTCTTTCAGCATCTTGTGTGACAGCATCTTGCGTGATGAGGAACAGGTTCCAGAGCAGCCACGCAGGTACAGTCTGGCAAGGCATGAAACCCGCATCATAGGATCCCCCCAAACACTTAGCCTTGGTAAGACCTCCGAATCCCAAGCGGGCTCCTAACCGTATGATCCTGCCAAACCACTGCTGTCCCCTAAGGGCCTTAGTTTCCTCCTCTAGACAATGAAACTCCTGTGAAGAGTCATGTGCCCTCTGCAAGTACCTCATACGTGCTGGCTGGGGTCTAGGAATGGCCCCAGGCAGCCGCTGTTCTTAGCATGACTGCTGCCCTCTCTCAGTTTGTGCACCCCCATGTCTGTCCTGCTCTGCTTCCTGGAGACCATCGGAGCAGACAGGAATAGTGGCTGGCTATGTGGACCTATGTGAGTGCTGACCCTGGTGTCCATAGTAGTCCAGGGCAGGAGGCACACACTGAGTGTGGCCTGTGGGGCCTGCCCCTCCCTGACCCTGAAGCCTAGAAAAAACGCAGCAGGCAATGTCCTGAACAGAAACCTTTGTTAAATAGAACCAGGGACATCTGGGGTAGCATCAGGGAACAAAAGGAGCTGAGCCCCAGAGGTGGGGCACAGGCTTCAGAGACCTGACAGGTAGTGGGCAGCTCTGAATGGAAGGCCTGTCTCTCCATCACCCACTGCCGAGGCCCCTGGAGCCCTGCTGGACATCAGCAGGAAAATATGATGACCCTCTAGTAACCTGGGAGGAGCCCGGTGGGGCTGGACCCGGGACCCCTCCTTGCCTGTCTCAAAGCTACACTGCAGATGGCCCAAATCATGTTCATACAGAAGGCAGGAAGCCATGGCAGGGACCACATATACACACGGTAGCATCGATGCCCAGGGACCCTATGCTCACATTTGCCCATACCCCCTGAGCCGCAGGAGCCAGGACCACACCACCACATTTCACTTCCAAGCAGCTCTGGCTAATCCAACCCCAACGCACAAGCATCGCATGGGGGTGCATGCTCTCTTCCTTCTCCCGCTGAGCCCCAGGCCCACAGGAAGCAGCCTGGCTTGGTTGCCATGGTGATGGGCTAGGAGAAGGGGCAGGAACTGAGCTGAGACAGACTGTGGGGGAAGGGGAAGGCCAGGAAAGGCCCTTGGGAAAGGGGAAAGGGAAACAGAGGAGCCCCTGCATCCCTCCGTAGCCACCTCAGGAACAAGTGTGGCTGTGTTAGCTCCTTATTCCCTGTGACCACTCCCCATGGGAGAATCTGGCCACGGCAGAAAGCCTCAGCGTGGGTGCCCTGGCCACCTCTGGGTTACTGTCTTCCTCAGGCACCCTCTTGACTTTAATTCCTGCTGTCACTCCACATAAGCGCTCTTCCCTCCCCATGCCACGTACCAAACTCCTATTCACTCTCCAATGCGCAGCTCAAGCGATACCCTCAAAGCTGAGTTCCACCAGCCACAGATGTCTCGGGCATACCTTTTGTGGTCTCACTCTCCCTCACAAGGAAGGTTCCTCTCGGGTTCTCGGCATTGAGCAGTAGCCGCTCTGACTCCCGCCTAGTGATCTTGCCAAAGTACCACCTGGGGCAGGAGGGACAAATCTGTGTTGGTTGGCCAGTGTTCACTGCCCACAATGCTGGCCCTGGGTACTGGGACTCAGAGTGGCCGACTGTTGCCACTCAGGCCCAGGAGGGGCACTGTGTTAGCAGTGGCAGTAGCAGCTGACAGTAGCCAAACGACATACTCACTCCTCAGCCTGGATGGAGTCGGAGGGTGCCACATAGTTGCTGGGGATGTAACCGGTCTGTCCCGTGCTCAGCGAGTGTGCCAGCCACCAGTCTCCCTCTCTGAGCAGATGGGAGGGAGCAAAGAATGACGTCATCAGGGGGGAGCAGGGTTGGCAACCCTGACCTTCCCAGGTGAAAGGCCAGGCTCTGCAGCAAAGGGGGCTGGGCCAGCCTGTGTCCACAGCAAGCCAGCAGGAGCTGGCCTGGACCTCACATCATACCTCCCTGTCACACTGACCCAGAAAGATGCCACCCAAAACCTCAGCAGAACTGAGCCCTGTCAGCCCAGAGGCACTGTCCACAAGTGCATAGCGGCCTGCAGGTGCCAAGGGCTGCCTTGGGAGAGAGAGGGGGAGGAATTTCCCTGTCTGGGGGAGGAGGAAGGGTAAGCAGGGTGTACATGAGATGGATGCCAGATTAGACCTTCAAAGTCTCCCCAAGCCCTGAGAGCCCTGGCCCCCAATAGAGACAAGGCTAGCCCTTCTGGGGCCCAGCAACAGTTCAGGCCCATCCCTTCAAACAAGCAATACTTGCCACTATCCCAAATCATAGCTCACTCCTAAAAGTCCTTAACCGAAACTACAAGCCTCCTCCTGCAGCCTACCCCATCCGTGGGGAACGTGAAGCCATGCCCAAAGTCACACAGCCAGTCATGGGGAATGAGGTGGCAGAGCCCCAGTGCTCAGGGCCCTCTACTCTAACTGCCCAGGAAGAAGGGGAGGAAGGTGGAAGGAAGAGGGAGGAGGGAAGAGGGAGGAGGAGGACTCCCAGCAGTATCCGGGCCCTGGGCCTGGGCAGGAGGGGGAGGGGAGGAAGTACCTTTGCAGCCATCTGAATGTGAACCAGGTCTGGCTGGAGCAGGGGTCCAGAGACAGAGGGAGGAGCAAGCGAGAGCCCGGCCGGAGAGAAGAGGTAGAGATGGGGGTGGTGAGAGGCCGTGGCTGGGGGCCGAGGGACAGAGCGAGAGCCAGGCAGTGCTGGGGACACTGGGGACAGGGCTGGGGGCAGCCAGAGGCCTCACATCCAAAGCAATCAAAGGGGACAGGGCAAAGGCTGGAGGTTTGAGGTAAGATCTGGGGACAGGACCTGGGAGGTAGGCTCCAACCCTTCCCACCCCCTGTACAGATGGAAAGACTGAGGCTGGAGAAGCAAAGGACTCTGTGCAAGGTCACACAGCCAAGCCAGATCTTGCCCAGGGAAAGTGTCTCCCTGTGGGTACCACGAGGCTCAATGGCTCTCCAGTTCATCTCCATGCAAGGTTTGGGGGTTGGCAAGGTGGGTGTCACATGAGTCAGCTGGTGTCACCTTGGTCCCCTCCTTGGCCCTGAGAAGATGCACAGCAACCCCACCCCGGCCCAGACACGGAAAGGCCCTGGCCTCACATCACACAGCCCCAGCTCGGACACACCGGATGTCTGAGCATATCTTCACCCAGACTTACAGATGGACAGGATGAGGCCAGGAGCAAACGGGGCTGGGGGAGCTTGGAGGACCTGCTGGAGGCCAGGTGAGCACAGACTGGTGTTGGGCAATAGGGGTCCCTTCTAGACAGACGTGTGCAAAGGGCATGATGGGAGCTGTGCAGGACAGACACACAGACAGGGTGCAAGCTCACCCAGGACCCGTGCCCCACTGCTCTACCCTGCTTGGGGTATACACATTTTCCTGTCTTATTTGACCCCCAAGGTTATCCTACAAGGAAGAAAGCAAGACTCCCACCCCCAGCTGATGAAAGTACATTTGAGAGAGGAGGAAAACATGGTCACTCTGGCAAAAGAGACCAGTGTTTTCTTATAGAGTTGGTGAAAGTGAGGTATGGAGGAGAGGGTTTGCCCAAGGTTACAGACTCAGGTCCAAAGCTCTATAAAGTCTTTCAATTCAAAGCATCCATCTCCCCGGTGGGGAAAGAAAGGCACAGAGAGAGCCATCATTTGCCCAAAGCCACAGAGCGTAGTCAATGGCAGAGAGGCTGAAATCAAGAGGCCTCTGATGACCGCAGCAACCTGAATCCACAGAGGCTGAGATCCCAGAAGCAAAGGGACAGGATGGCAGTCCAGGAAAGGGAGAGTGAACGACCAGGTTCCATCCCAGGCTTGCTACTCAGTAGCCATGTGACCTTGGACAAGGGCCTTCACAACTCTGAGCCTCAGTTTCCTCATATGTAAACTAGACCAGCTCCTCCACCATTACTGTTGCCTCCAAGGTCGGAGAGGACAAGATGAAAGAGGTGTGGGTGGCACAGCACAGGCTCGCTTTTGCTTCCCACAGAGGGCAGTTCCACCCTGGGTCTTGAGAGATGAATAGGAGTTCACCAGATGGATAGAGGAGAAGGAATAGTTCAGGCAAGAGGAGCAGCATGCACACGGGTCAGGAGGCAGGAACAGCGAGACATATCCAGGGGTGTGGAAAGCTTGCCTCCTTGGCCAGGCCTGTGGGGCTCTCGATGATGGGTTCCTCTACCCTCCAGAACACCCCAAATCAAACTCCCCGAGCCTTACCTGCTCCAAGGAGAGCCCCACAGCCCAGCGCATACCTCCAGCCAGCAGACGCCCCCTCCCGGGGATGCTGCCCCCACCCTTACCTGCAGTAGCTCGGATGGGCAGCCCTTCCTCATGGCCATCTTTTGGGGACCCCAGCCTACCTCTACCCACCGCTGGCCTGGCCTGGGGCAGCCCCCTCCCCACCACACTGCCTCCCTCCCTGGCCTCCAGAATGCATGTGGGTAGCACTCAATGTGGAATCACAAACCAGAAGAGGGAGGTGGTGAGCTAACAGGAAGGTATGGGGAGAGGATGGAGGGATGCAGGATAAGCTGAGGGGACAGGGATGGGGAGGGAGCTGGAGACCACGAGCAGGGCAGCAGGGAAAGCGCATGCAGAGAGCAACCCCCAGCCTCAGCGAAGCGTCCCCCTCCACCCGGCCTCGGTACACACCTGACATCCACCTTCCTCCTAAGGGCCAGCGAGAGAGAAGCAGAGAGAGGGAGAGACTGAGGTGCCAATGCAGGGTCCAGGAAAGGGGAGGACAGTGGTAGGGGTCTAGGGAGGGCCACCACCCACCAAGGGCAGAAGCAGCCTTGCAGGCTCTTCAGCGCCCTCTGCCGGCAGCTCTGGGTATAGACAGGCCCACACCCCCAGTGCATTCCCGGCAGTGCCACTCACGTGTTGTTGACAATCTGCAGTCGCTCTCCTTTCTTGAAAGACAGGTCAGTCTCTGTCCTTGACTCATAGTCATAGAGGGCCACAAAGGTGGTCACCCCACCTGCAGAGAGAGATTCGAGATGTCAGAGCCCTGGGGGATGGGGACTGTCTTCCTCAGCCACCTGCCCAACCCTAAGAAGTGGCACACTGAGTCCCTGTGAAGGGGGCCTGTGCCTCCCTGCGGGGCTGCAGGCAGGCTAAGCGCTCCCTGTCTGCCATGTCTAGCTGACACAAGCAGAAGCCCCAGAGAACAGGCACCCTTGTTCTGCTCAGACCCCAGCACACAGTGGTGACTCTGCCTCTGTTTGTGAGTACCTGGAAGCTCTGGGCATCTGGGCCAAGCGGCAGGGCCCTTCCCTTTAGTCCCTTCTCACCCATAGCTGCTCCTCCGACTCTTGCAGCCCACCCTCCGTTGCCTAAGGCTCCAAAGTGCTTCTCAAATGAACGAATGGGTATGTGGCTGAGTCTGGCAGAAGCAGACACTCTGTCCAAGGGTCGCCTGTGGTGGGCTGTGGAGCTGGGCCACCAGCCCGTCTGCATCCTTGTGCATCAAGCAATGGCTGCAGGTGCACAACTGCATCTGAGGGTGCAAGACTGTATGCACACCTGTATCTGTGTGTGCTGCATTGCAGGTGCCTGGCCTAGTTGTGTCTCCGGGAGCACAGTGAACACTGTGAGCATTTCCATGGTGTCTCCACTCAGCATGGGCACATAACATGGCTAGGTCTGGTCGTGAGAGGTGCCTGCGTAGGTGTGCAGCTGTGCGTGTGGCTGGGTCTGAATCTGAGCAGTGTTTGCACATGTGGGTGTGCAGCTGTATGTGTGGCTGGGTCTGGGTAGGATGTGCCCATGTGAGTGTGCAGCCGTGCGTGTGGCTGTGTCTGAGCATGGGATTTGCACGAGTGGGTGTGTAGCCGTGCACTCATCTGGCAGGACCTTGAGTCACCCAGCTCAGGCCCTCGGCGTCTGGGCTGCCGCACCTCGCAGTGCCAACAGAGGGCGCAGGGGCGCACTCGGGCCACCACACAGTTGAATCGGGAACAAAGGATGGACGGGAGGCGGCAGCTAGGCGGGCTAGGGCCGTCCTTCCCTCTGAACCTCTGGGTCCCCTACAGCCCTCTCCTTCCGAACCCGTAATGCTCTGAACCCAGCAGCCCCAAAAGCGCCAGGAACCCCGCTGTCCAATTTAAGAGTCCTTCCCCACTCTCAGCCTCCCGTAAACCAAATCCCCAGAGCCCAGAAAGGGTACGCCTCAGCCCAGGGACACCCAGCAAAGGGGAGAGCCGACCTGCCAGAGGCCCGGCCCTCTGCGGGGAGGTGACTGTGTCCGAGGAGTTGAAACCTCCGAAGAGCTTGGACTCAGCGGTGTTGGTGGCCACGAAGGCGGCGCTGGGCCCTCGGTGGCCATCGGCGGAGGCGGGCTTGCTCGGTGTCTGCGAAGCCGGGAAGGCACCCCCCGCCCCGTGCACGTTCTCGGCGGGCTCCAGGCTGCGGCGCCTCTGGCTGGCATCTTTGGGCTTGCTCTTGTTGCTGCCCATGATCCTGGCTGGGGGCGACAGAAAACCCCGAGGTAGAGGAGAGCCCCCTCTCCCCCGACTCAGCGGGTAGAGAAAGAGCCAGCCTGGGAGAGCTGGCCTCACCGTTCCTTCACTGGTAAAATTGGCATGTTGGTGGCACCTTAGGACTGAGTTATGCCAGTACAAAGCCCTGACCACCGCTACCCAAAGTCAGTTTCAGTCCTTTGTACGCAGGGGCACTGAATCATACCAGTGTCCCCAGCACAGAGGAGGGGCAAACTTAAGTTTGACCAGTTGTTAACACAGTGGTGGTGGGGGATGCTAAATGTGATGGTTGCAGCAGGAGTGGTGTGTGGCTTGAAGAAGGATGGCCACGGGGCGGCCCTCCGGCCACAGGACTTCTGCAAACACTGCTTGCTAACAACTTCAACTATCAACTCGAAGTCACTTCCTGGGTTGGAGATGTGCCTCCGCAGGGAAAGGCACCTGCTGCAAACCCTGCTGACCTCAGTTCAATTCCCAGGACCCACATGGTGAAAAGAGAGGCGAGAGGAATGGTCCTGCAATTTGTCCTCTGATTTCTTTTTTTTTTTTAAAGATTTACTTATTTATTACATATACACCAGATTGAATTGTAGATGGTTGTGAGCCACCATGTGGTTGCTGGGAATTGAACCCAAGACCTCTGGAAGAGCAGTCAGTGCTCTTTCCTCTGAGCCATCTCTCCAGCCCGTCCTCTGATTTCTGACCTTCACACATGCCATGGCTCACACACACCTCCCCATAAGCACACAGAATAAATAAGGTCCAATAAAAATGTTTCAAGTCACCTCCATTAGGAGGGGCCCCCAAATCCTTTCACGAGCCCCCTGACTACTGCACCCCCTTGTTTACATGCGCCCAGCACTGAGTGAGGTGCACAGCAGGTGCTTAATGAAAAGCCAAAAGAACGATGCAGGGTGAGAGGAATCTGAGTTCAAAGATGAAGCCCAAAGCTTGGGAGGTGGGACTAGGGCACACAGAGGGAACCGCGTTGAAGGCTCCGTGGCGTCCAATGCCTGCTATGCTCTTCCACAAGCGTGCCCAACCCAGGAAGCTGGGCTGGGGGCTCCTTGCTCTCATCTCCACTCACCTGGTGGGCAGCAGGGCTACCCCAGTGGATCTGGGGAGCAGCCTGGGGGCTTGGCACAAACACCAGCTGTGGCGTCCGGGATCTTAGCCTAGAGACTCTTCTCCACCTCTCCTGCTGTGTGTCCCTAGGTGAGTTGCTCCCCTTCTCTGGGCCTCGACATCCGCATCTATAGAGCCTCTGTGGGGATGTGAACATGAAAACTGTTAGAGCTCTTACTCTGAGGGCCATCAGAAGATGCCCCTTGCCAAAATGTCCTTCGGCCCTTCCAAAGATCCTGGGAACCAGAGAAAGGAGTTGGCACAGTATTCTGGAAGGCTCAGAAACTGGCTCCCCAGTTCTGGCCTCAGCTGTCTGGTCTACACTAGTATGAGACATCCTCCCCATGCCATGTCTTCCCCTTATGTGACAGCTATGGCCGAATGGGGCCATAGCAGGGGTCACTCTGCCACTAGATCACCGGCATGTGTTCTGGGTATGCCACCAGGGGGTGGGTGGGGGTGAAGCCCCTGGGATGCAGAAGGCCTCAGCATCAGGCCAGATGTCCTTACAGAACAGCTGTCTTCAGTACCAAACCCAGCTCTGCAGCTCCTACCCACGAGGACCTGGATACAGCAGTCAGCCCTTTACTCTAAGAGCTGTGGAGGTGTACACTGGGGTGTGGCTCAGGTTGACACCCAGACTCGGAGAGTGTGGGGCTAGGAGGCTTGCCCAACGGCCCAAGCAATCACCAGATTCCCAAGGGCAGGCCATGAGCCGGCAGGGAAGGCCTGTTTCCATGGCAACCCGTTCCCTCCAGATCGTTCTGAGGGGTTGGCTAACCAATGAGTTTCCCTACGGCCTGGCTTGCTAGAAGTCAGCCCAGTTGACCCCCTCAACACCCAGGCAGTTACACAGTTCCCGGACATCAGGTCCTTGGTTAACTGTTCCAGAAGGACTTTAAGAGACATTACAAAATACAAAAGATTTTAAAATAAAATCTATTTACTATACACAATTGCCTGAGTGCAAGAGCTTTCTTTGGAATGAACATAACAGTGCATAGTGCGCCCCCTGTTGTTGGAGGGGATCAAGAATGTCTCTTGGCAGATGTGCTTGAAGAGGGGGAAAAACAGCCCCCAGAAGATGCATGCCCCATCTTTTGAGGGGTGGAACATGAGACCTTACACTAACCAAGGGGAACACACACCTCCCAGTATACAGAAAAGTAAAGTAGGCAAACCCAAGGGGACCCGGGCCACTGGATGCCAGGCAGGCTGGTGTGTGGTAGGATCTGTCTGTGGTTAACGCTGGTTATGCAGACACCAGGTATCTGAAGAGGCAGCAGGGTTGGGAGCCAGCCCAGGAGTGGGTTGTAGCAGAAGGGCAGGTGACACTCAGCACCCTCTGAGTCTAAGAGGGGAAATCAAGGGATTGTGGGAAAGGAAAGAGCCCCTCACACAAGCTGTCCAAGCCTCTCTTCAGCCAAGAGTCCATAACTGCAGCACAACAGAAGCTTGCAATGGAGGCTGTCAGTGTAGGCAAACGCCCCTCCTGCCAGTGTGGGTAACCCCCTCCTGCCAGTGTGGGTAACCCCCCTCCTCTCAGTGTGGGTAACCCCCTCCTGCCAGTGTGGGTAACCCCCTCCTCCCAGTGTGGGTAACCCCCTCCTCCCAGTGTGGATAACCCCCCCTCCTCCCAGTGTGGGTAACCCCCTTCTCCCAGTGTGGGTAACCCCCCCTCCTCCCAGTGTGGGTAACCCCCCCTCCTCCCAGTGTGGGTAACCCCCCCTCCTCCCAGTGTGGATAACCCCCTCCTCCCAGTGTGGGTAACCCCCCCTCCTCCCAGTGTGGGTAACCCCCCCTCCTCCCAGTGTGGGTAACCCCCCTCCTCCCAGTGTGGGTAACCCCCTCCTTGTGCGGGAATTTCCAATAAGAAGTAGAGCTCAGCCAGTAAACACTGCTGTAGAACCTGACAACCAGAGCCCCAGTCACAGAACCACAGTGAAGAGGGACCCTGGGAAGGGGTCTTCTGACCTTTACGTGCTTGCTGTGACTTGCGTGTGCCCACACTCACA